AGTGCCAGCCTGCCAGGTACTTTAATGTTCTCGCACGATTCACGTCTTTTCAGAAGAGAAGGAACAGCCCAAAATCTTCTTTTGCAAAAACACAAAGGAAAAAACAAGAAGGGCATCGCAAGCTATGGACACTATTGCCATCAGATTCGTCCCCCGCCGCCCTGAGCTAAGGTCAAATACATGCTGGGAAGTGCCCAAATCCACTGGAGCCCTCAAATAAACCAGGCTGGCAAGCACTCAACTGCCACCCATCTCTCACGGGGAGCAACCAATACCTGCCAGCCGTTTCCAAATCCTACAACTGAAAGTGATGAAGTGAAAGCTATACAGTGGAGTGAAAGCGATAGAATGCTGGCCGAATATTATCCCAGCTGCTTGTAGCAGGTCCAGCAGAAGGGGTGGTACCCCAGCCAACACATTTCCTCTGCCGGTTCCGGACCGCCACAAAGGTCCTCTCTCTTTTCTGCGTGGCAAGCGAGAAGCTCTGACGAGTGAGAGCGTGGTAGAGCAGGCTGCCGCATTCATGACAGACAGGACTTCTATCTCATTCCATCTAAGAGAGCAAAGGCGCACGACTTCTATCTCATTCCATCTATGTTCCATCCCCGGAGGTGCAGGTCCCTCCCAGCTGTCCGCCATTTACCTGGTTGGGTCTACCTGCCGAAGACCAATATAGAAGCTTATCTGCAACCCTGAAAAAAAAAAAAAAAAAAAAAAAAAAAAAAAAAAAAAAGAAAGAAAGAAAGAAAGAAAGAAAGAAAGATAACGGATGTTGTCGAGGGGTCCAATACAAACAACTTTTGCCAGAGGATCATTTCTGTAGTGGAAACAAAATCAGAGAGAATTAATGAAGGTCAAACCATGACAGGTTGTCGTCCTTTGGGACATCCATCAAAATTGGAACCATAGAGAGAAGATAAGCAAGGACAAAAAAAGAAGACGATGATGACAACACCATCGGCTCCACTCTCGCGACGCGATACGTCCGGTGCAAAGCGCATGATAGATTACCAAACAACACGACAGACCGACAGACTGGCCAATCTCAGTTGGTGCACCCCAGAAACTGCCGAAACGTAGACCCGTGGCCACATGGCATTGGTATGTAGACCCCTGGCCAAATGGCATTGGTACCAGTGGAACCAAAATAGTTCTACATTTACCTGGGGCTCTCTCTACAGAGATACGACATCACAAGACTTTGACACAGGTTTGAAAAACGTTTAAATATTAAAATGGTCAACAAGGGAAGAGCATCGAACACGAATAGAAAAGGACACAAGTCAATCCCAATATTCGGAGTTAACAACGAAAGAACAACAAAGCAATCGCAGAAATGACGCAGTCAACGCAACGAAGTACCGCCAAACGATGAACCCCTTCAGCTTCATCCCTAAGCAAGTGCCCACTTGCCACTTTACAAGTGTGGAAAGATACCCACCTCATCATGCTACTGAACGAGTCGTTCCTACATTACCCAGCAATCCTAGTGTATTAGACCCCAAGAGATAGCGAGAACTGCTGCCGCGATTTTCCAGATTTCACCGCCTCATACGGAGAATTTCCTCCAAAAATTTGTCAAACAACGTATCAGGGTACCCATTCATGCGAATTTTCCTACGCAGCAAGATACCCCCCCCCCGAGTTGTATCAATCCGTTCGAATCATCCGGTAGACACAGCCGCTTTTCGCTATCCACTCAACCAAGAACAATACTCCCCCGAGCATTCAAAAGAACAATAGTCCACTGACCGATGCAAAACACCAAGCCCCCGTGACCCCGTGAGGCACTTTTGTCTTTTGTATGCTGCAAGCTAACCAAACACTTAAACCACCAGTACTTGGCCCAGCTATCGCCCGCGGAAAAAAAAAAAATTAAAACGTTGCTAGTTGGATGAATTTGGGCGCTCCTGTAGCTGTCTCTTATACACATCTAGATGTGTATAAGAGACAGTGCCTATACAGAGAAACAAGTAAATAGGGGTAACTAGTAGGGCACAGTAACAATTTCAGTTTAAAATCCAGTTCAGGCTTTTGCCTATACTGAGAAGCAGGAAAAAAGGTTGCCTCGAATACAGGATTTTGCCTAATATACAGAGAAGCAGGAAAATAGGGGTAACTAGGGTGCAGTAACGATTTCAGTTTAAAATCCACTGGCAGTTCAGGCATCCCTCGAATACAACACATCCCTCACATTTTTTACCTCAGTTTGGCACAACATTTGCAAAATCGTGAATGACGAGCATTTTCAAACTGCAGCCGTGACTACAGAAAGTGTATCTGTTCGAGTGAAGCATAATCATGACAACACACTGATGTACACAGGGACGCTGGACCCGATTTCCAGCAGGTGATGCTCCCCACCAATAGATGGAGCCTTCAACACTGGGACCTGCTTAAGG